AACCCACTACCCAGAGGCAGTTGCATTATGAACCATTACAGCAAAAAGCATAGCAGAGGAATTGATAAAAATCTTTAGTAGAGTAGGTATACCTCATCATTATTGACAGATCAAGGAAGTAATTTTCAATTAACCCTCCTAAAACAATTCTATGAAGTGTTGGCAGTAAAAGGAGTGAGGATTAGTCCATACCATGCTCAGGCAGATAGTCTTACAGAATGGATGAGCCAAACTCTCAAGAACATGTTAAAAAATATGCAGGACAGGACCCCACTCACTGGGACTCTTGGTTACCATATCTCATGTTTGCATATAGGGAAGTACTACAAGCATCAATGGGATTTAGTCCTTTTGAATTAGTTTATGGAAAACAACCAAGGGGGATATTGGATGATGTTAAAGAGAGCTGGAGTAACTGGACTGAATCCCCTCAAAACCTGGTTGAATATGTATTGACTCAAAGAGAAAAACTCTAGTCTCTAACCCAGATTGCTCAAGACCATTTAGTCCTGGCACAGGACTCATAAAAATATGGGAAAAGTGCATAGAAGAAAGAACTGGCAGTAGGAGTCCAAGTGCTACTGTTATTACCAAGCCCTGAATGCAAACTACAAGCCCAGTGGCAGGATCCTTACACCATTGTGAAACAATGTAAGGATCCTGTAAACTATCAAGTCAATATGGGAAGTGGAAAATACAAGGTCTAACATACCAACCTCTTGGGGAAATGGTGTACCAGAGAAGACCACCCTGCACTTGTTGTTTTGAATAGGGATCATCAAGACCTCATGGATCAAACATATGAAGGATTGTGCCAATAACCAAGAAATACAAATCAATCAAGAACTATCACCATTGCAAAAAGATGATATAAAAGAACTGATCCAGATCTTCAACCCTACACTTACCAGCATACCTGGAAGAACCACATAGACATAGAGAGGTTGAAAAAGGAGATACCCAAAGAAAGGCAACCTTTTTACAGTCTAAGAGAGGTCAAACAAACCAAAGGGAGGAAAGATCCTGTTATTAAATGTGGCAAGGTAGGACACTTAACTAAATATTGTCGAAGTCACCTATGCAAGTAGAAGAATATTAGAGGGGAACAGAAAATAACATTGCCTTTCTAAAAGGGGGAAGGTATATTAGGGAATGAGCTGGGATTGCTGGCTGCAGTTGGGAAAAGCAGCTACAACCAGGCAGAAATGAACCTCCACTTCCTCAAGGATAGGCTCAGCTCATCACTTCTACCAAAAGGCACTACAAGTTTACAGACCCAGAACTTTAGAAGAGATGGGCTCATTCATCCATCCATCCATCCATCCATCCATCCATCCATCCATCCATCCATCCATCCCCCTCCCTCCCACAGTTTACTCACAAGATTCCACACTGTCGTTCCAGATGTCTGGCTAATTGAGCCACACCTGGTGCATTTTAAGAACATGCTGATGTCTATAGGCTGCCTTACCTGACCCAGGTCCTTAGCCTACAAAAGTGTGGGTGTGTAGGAGAGAAAAGGAAGAAGACAACAAGCAGACGAGGAAGCAGGAAGTGGCCTCTGGAACGTACAACTATTATAGGCAAACAAGAGGATTATCAGTCAACTGCCAGGATCACAAGCTACGGAATGAGTATTAAAGACATATTTATGTGATTTCATCAAATTGCAAGGCCTAGGAAGGTGGAGTTAACCCAGAGCAACAGCCTATTGTTGGGGAAGATGTGTACAACAATAAAGCATGGTGTACAGTTATCTGCTACGCTGTGGTGTGTCCAGTCTTTGGAAAACAACCCTTACAAAGATGCATTAGTGGAATTAATCTTTGTAAATATTTACTGTAATTCAAATATACATGGGTAAAAATACATGAAATTCTGAGAAATTAATAGACAATGGTTTAGGTAACATTTAGTGGCTGTAAGGTCATGACTTAAGTCAGTACACTTGCAGTTCACCAACACTGCAAGGAATGCAGATTGTTGTAACATTGTAGAATGGCACCATTATGTTAAGGACCAAAGTGTAATGCAATAGTTTCCCATTACACTTCACCCACTAAGACAATGTTCTATTTTATATATACAGTATATCTATGCCTATAAGCAAAGCATTCAGACAGAATTGACCTGTTGTTGTTTTTTTAATGTCTAGGTTGTTTAGAAATCACATTCTTAAAAGAATGTTCAGGCCACTGGACATTTTTTTTGTCTGGGAAAGGACTGGTTACTTAACTTTAATTGTGAAAATAAATGTATATCCCTAACCAATCAGTAAATAATGATTTATTTTAGTTGTTCTTGTAACCTGAAACCTCTTCCTTTATAACACCTATTAAGCTCCTAAACTATATAAAGTCTCTGCAAAATCATACATTTCTGGGAAAAGATCATTTCCCAGTGTTATACAACCCATTTTTAAAAAGGCACATTCATAAATTGTTGCCAGATCAGTGGTACACTTGTAAATAAAAGTGTGTAAGTGTGTGTGTGTCTGTGTGTCAGAACTATCTAATGAGAAGAAGATATGCAAATTAAAGCAATACTGGAAATTGTTCTTTAGGCAATAATGAGCTTTGCAGAACATAAAGTTATTTGGGGCACATTTTGCCTTTGTTCTTTCTGGGACCCACATGTAAGAAATACCTCCGCCCGCCCCCAGCTTTGGAGAAAGGCTGGAGAATCAGAAAGAAGTCATCTAAGGACATGTAGGGTTATATGCAGCTTAGAGTCTTTTAAATTGTTTTTATTATAGATTCGAGTTGTTTTCTTTGTTCTATTTTGTTCTACCTGTACTCTGCCTTCTTCTGATGTGCCTAAGGTGAAAGTACTTAGAAGTACTCAGTTTTCTCCAAGAAGACAGTATATGTTCCACCAGAGAATAATGTGGAGTAGAATTGTGTTGCAAGCTTAATAGAGACAGTGTCAGAAAATACATATTGACCTAGAATGAGTTCAGTTCTCTTTTGGATCTCAAAGGCCAGGTGAATTGCATCCTTTGGGGATTTGTTATTTTCTGTTTTTTAAAGAGTTCCTGAAAGTCTGAAGCTGGGACACATCTGCTGTATGAGAGCATTTTGTTAGCATTCATGTACTCAATATTTACTTCTCAGTCTATTTTACTTATTAATCTATGGTGAACTGTTTATAACAACCAATCTTTTATTAGCCCAATAAAAGGGGACAAACATTTAAATATTTATATTAATTTTTAAAATGTTTCCATCCTCATGGTTCTATTTATGCTTTAGGATTGATTATTACTAATCTGTTTCAAAGTAGACTGAGTCAAAATTTCTCAAAAAATTCTGGGATTGTTCTTTTTTTTTTAAATTGCCTTAGTAAAAGAATGCCACTTGGCAGATTTTTTAAATTCTCTCTCTCCCCCCCCCCCCCCCCCCCCC